AGACCAGATGTGAACTGTGCTTCAGTGGGTATCCTCTGCGGAGGGCAGACAAGTCCCAAATCACAGAGGCATTATGGAAGTGAGAAAAGCACTCAGCTGCCTTTGAAGCATTCAGCCGCCATCACCTATTTATTACAGCTGCAGTTGAATATAGGTGCCTTATCAAAACTTCAAAACATCTTCCTCAAGGTCAGAAAAGTTCTGATATTTTCATGCTCAGGCAGATGTCATCACTGCAGATTAACTTATAAAAATGAGTTTTGCTGAAGTTGAATGCGACAGACAACACTACTGAGTCTTGAGCTTACAAGGGTCTGTAACAGCAATATACGGTCAAAGTCTAGGTGAGCTAAAAAAAACCCCAAAAAGTACAGTAATACAGGAAAACAGAATTCCTGCAGAATTAGGCAGGATTTTAGACAGTTTCATAACAAACTGGTATGCTGTGCCCTATTTTGGTAGACATCCAGTCAAGTAGTCTAATAGCAGGTTTTTAACTTGATCCAATGGCCATTTTCTGCATGTGTTGTCACAGGTACTACAAACACAACAAAGAACATTTTGTTCTGGTTGCTGTGTTACACATAACTGGCAAGATCCACCTGAGGATCTGATTGTGCAAAACATGCTTTAGAAAATACTGAACAATGGTACGCTATAGAAATTGGATGCATGGTTCAAAGAAAATTTATGGTGCTGATAGAAGCTGGATGGGATGAAAACATGTAGCTTTATGAAAGGCATCTAAAATACTCTCAGAGCCACCTGGTCCCTCTTATAGGTAGTTTGTGTTCTTCTGTAATAAAAACATTTTATTTGGCCTAGCTTGCATTATACTTACAGCCTTACTTTCATTATTATTTATCAGTCTTCATAAATGACATTGACAAGTTTTATCATGATTTGATATCTAATTCAGTTAAAATGTTGAATAATTAAGTTTAGCTCTGATATTTACACAACTCTAGAAACACCTAAATTTCATTAATTACTTTTCAGATCAGCCACACAGGCCATTTTTAATCCATTTAACATACTACTGATATTGCATAGCCTACATTTTTTATCTGAAGGCCTCAGTGTTAGATCAGACATCTTAAAAAACCAGTATATTAAAATGAATAGTAACCTTTATCAACTGACTTGTACTGCTTTCTGGAAAACAAATCAGATTTATTGAATGCAGCTTATTTTCCATAAAACCATTCTAAGAAGTATAACTATACCCATATGCTTTAATACTTTAATAATTGAATTTCATATCAGATTTTCAGTATTTTAGTCAGAAATGAGGTCAGACTAACTGACCTAAAAATACCTATCCTGACTGCCTTTTCTGACTATTGACTCAATATTATCATTTGTTTAGACTACTGTAATACTCATGGCAGTGTTATAGTTTATATATACCTACTTCAAATACTTCTTCAAAATGAGGATCAGCACGAGTAAAATTCCTTAACCAGGCCTATAAAGGTGTAAGCCATACAAGTTCTCAATTTAAAAATACCACTTATTTCTAGAAATTGTTCAAAATCCTCCATTGGCTACTAATAGACTGGCAATGTTTCATCATCTTCATATAACATCAGCCTACTTCCTTCCAGATACAAATCAGAAATATTGATACGAGACTTCTATTCTGACACAGTTACAGAGTTGTTTTATCTAATAATGTGTCATATCCACCTTGTAAACGCTATCTTATTACTAGCACATTTTTTAATCCTGCCCCTTTACTATTGTTCTTGGCCTTGCTACCCACAGATTTCATCTTGATATCTTTAGCCTCTTCTCCATCCTCCATACTCTGTTGCTGCTCATATATTCTCGTTATTATCTATAATTCATTTTCCACTTCTTTATTCTTCTTTTTTACTGCTAAATATTCTGTTCTCTTTCCCATCAAACTGAAATAGGTATTTATAAGAAGCTACCCTCTAGTTATGGAACTGTGGGTTTTTAGTTACTTAACTGTTATAGTGCACAATTTCTATTCATGTTTTCTACCAGCCTGTATCTTCCTCAAAACAGCTTTGGAGAAATGAACTGTTCTGAATCAAGCTGTTTTAGGTGCCCTGTTGGTTCCTACTGAACATAATTTAGGACATAACACCTGATCCTTATACCACACTCCAACAAAAATAAGGCCAATAATGGCTTACAACATATTGGGTACAGCAACTTTTGTTTGTAATTATTTCTTCCACAATTTTTAGAAACTATTACCAGATTTTACAATCTAGTAATTTTAGTTAGTTGCATAAGTGCCCCAAACCAGGCTCCCAATAGCATTGCAATGCTTTATTGTACATTACAAATATGTGCTTTTCCAGTAACTCATCATATCCTCTAATTTGATCCAGTGATGTGTATCAGACTCCTACCAGAAACCTCTCCACGAGGTTTTGTAACTATATAATGTCATAAGAGACATTGAACAACTAGAAAAATTAACTGCATTTAATTGATTAATGAGAAGATTACACTTGCACTCAGAAAAACAAGTAAGGCTTGTGAAGTGATCAGAACAGCAGGCAAAGAGAAGAAGGTCATACAAATATGTTGAACAGGTTAAGCAACAGACAGTTTAAACTTGATTAAACTTGATCTCTATATAGAAAAACTTATCTGAGTTACTGAAACTTGAGTGAGAACGAAGGTCAGGGGAAAATTGACAGCCACCTGGAAGGAGAGAGTAGAAATGAGACAGACCAGACTTCAAAGGAAGAGCTAGTACAGGAAGGAGTACTGCTACTTTTTATTGTGCCACCTTGATCTTCCTACGCAGGTTATAGCATCAGATACGTAAGAGGTATTTTAACAGGATTTACTTGATATACTACAAAATTCCAATGAAACGCCAAGGATTTTCAACTACATTTTTTACAGTGGTATAGTGTGAATAAAATCTGATTTCAGAGAACTTTTTTCCCATAAATATTTAGTACCTAACTAAACAAAGCAGTCTACTGAGGAACTCCCTGTTCATCAATATTTGACTTATAGACAGCATCTTTATTTTAAAAAAATCTTTCTGCAGAGGAACAGTAGTCAGCAAAAATGTTACTTGAAATATGCATAAATATTCTTTTATGCGGGGAGAAACTACGCATTTAGCTTTATTAGCTAAATATTATTATTATTTATAGAGAAATTACATATTAACATTCTTTTCACATACAGTATGACCATGTAATTGCTAATGAATATTCATGGTAACTAACAGAAAAGCAGTCATCTTATGCAACTACAAATGAAGTACCATAATAGTTGCTAATAGGTGATTTTCCTCACTACAACTACTTTTGAGAACAGAAGATCTTTTACTTTCTCATTTTCTAATTTTTGGCAAACTTTTCATTATGGAAGTATGTAAGGTATTCATAGTATGAATACTTGTTCATCTGCTTTGTCTATAATTGCTACTGCAGTTTATTCAATTAAGTCATCCCAAAATTCATAGGAGCCTGAACGGAGACCGAATTGTGTGTCTCTGTCATCAATGACATACGAGTATTTCATTAAAAAAATAGATAATACATTAGATTAGATTAATTCAGACTTTCACATACTTAGCCAAAAATAAGCATGCAGCAGTGAAAAGAACACTCATTTCTTCCTCTTAGAGAAAGCATTCTGTATTAGAAAAAGCACATTTTCCCCCATGAAAAATAACTGTTCGTTCAAGAATAGGCAAGATACTTCTGAATCATGGGGCACACTGATCAGTTTTATACCACTTTCCCAAGGGTTACAGAACAAAGCAAACAGAAGATGGCCTTTATTTTAATCATAAACTTAAAAATCAAGATAAGTCATTTTTAAAATAACAGGCACATTTTTAAAATGAAAGTCAGTCCTCATTTTCACCTTAGATATTTTAGCTTATAAATTCTTTGAATTTAGGATTTTAAAGTGCATTCAATGTTGTTCAGTCTTTTTTCATAATGAAGTTGATAAGAATTTTGCAACTGAACTGAACATGGGATGGTTGTGGAGTGGCTTGTTATCTGATGATGACAGAAAGATGCTAAAATGCACAAGTACTTAAGTTACTAAATTTCAGTCCACAGTGGAAAGCTATTAATGAGGAGATAACTTGCCTTCTTTTTACAGTACATCAGAATATCACTGCTCTTTACTTTGGATGCTATCAGACTTGCTCAAACATACCTGAAAGCAGCTCACCTCTACAGAAATCGAAGAACGATAGAGAGGTGGATCTGTTTCATGGGTTAGTAAGATATAAACTTGTCTGAAAGTAGGTATATAGTAGATATATGCTAAATTCAAGATAGATATATACTGAATAGGCATTATAATTCTTAGTTATGCAGTGGATATTTCAGAAAAATAAATAATATTTATATTTCAAATATTAAGTTACAAAACACAGATTAGTCCATTCTGCAGAACTTCACACTGACGCAGTATGATGAAGTGATCCATATAACACCACAGACACAGTATTATTGCATGATGCACTGTAGCAGATTGTTAAGTATTTAACCAAAATAAGAAAAGAATATTCTATATACTGCTTTTAAACTGCTTTCAATTTTGCAATATAGAGGCTTCCTTACTTACATATTTCTGCAATAAAAAGCAATGCATGTGGAAAATGAGGTAGTTGACACTAATCAAGAGATATTAATTGTTTTCTTAAATGTGTTGTGAAATATTCTTCTGCAGAGTAATTTGCTATACAACTAAGCACTTTTTCTTGGGAACAAGTACACTAGCAGTCATATACAAAAAGATGACCAATAAAAATTATGGAAGTCTAGAGAAGCCTAGGAGAGAAACTTGGAGCCATTGACTCTTTCTCCCTGTTTAGACCAGTTCAGAGCTGACACCAGGCCAATGAAGGGACATCAAAGTTTGTTCCAGTACAGGGAATGCACCAAAGATTATCCTCATTTAATCTTTTATATTTTGTTTTCACTCAAGAATACCTTTATTTAGGTGAACACTCAAAAGAAAATCAAAACTCAAACCTTCACAAATGTCATGAACTCTTCTACTTTGTCATTGGTGAGCAACAGCTTCTTCTGTACAGTTTCCAAAGCCTGCCCACTCTGTTTAGCCAAGCCATGTAGTTGTTGAGATGCAGTAGTCTCAAGTTCAGTCATGGCATATTCAGTCTCAATCATTTTGCTCTCTAGATTGGTAAGCTTGAGATCCTGAAATACATCCGCAGAGAAACAGCAGTGATTTAATAAAAGCCGATAGGCAGGTATGGTATACCACAAACGAACAAACCAACCAACCTCCCACACAATGGTTAACATCGTAGAACATTCTACTTGCAACACATAAAATGTAATTTCATGGGAAAAAATAACTTCATTTTCAGTCATTACGCCCATGTTTCAGCATCTAAATTTCAGTGATGTGACTGAATTAAACCAGAGAAACACATTACTATTATTCTGCTATTTTTTCTCTTTCCATATTTAAAAAGTCTAACCTGATGACCTTACAACTTTTCATTTGGAAGTGAGGTATGAAAATGTTCCACAGTGGAGCCATCACAACTCTAATATACCTTTTTCTCCAGCTCATCTTTAGCCTTGTGATACATCTGCTCATACTGAGACTTCTCTTTTGTAGCTACATTAAGTCTTTGTTTCAGTGCATCAATGGAAGTTCTTTTGTTCGAACAGTCTTCAGCCAGTGCCTTTACCTGAAATAATGAAAGGCCAAAAGCAATTGACTATTAAGACATAAAACTTAAAAATGAAAATCAAGTCAAAACTAAGCTTACCTATATTGCATAACCATACCTGTATTATAGAAATAATTTAAGTACCTTTTTCTGAAATTAGTCTTTAATAAATCTCTACTGCTGATCCAGTAAATCAGTTTGCCCACAATCTTGTTATGTAATATCTTGAGTTGTATTAAATGTAAAGAAAATCTCTTTGTTTGCAGAGCTGTTTGTTTATACATATTTTACTGTTACAGTGGGTGCAAAAGGGAACAAACCACAACTTCCACTCATTTCTTCTATCAGAGGTAAAAACATTAATTAAAACTCGGCTGAGAAAATGATAACTGTCTACAAGCTAATAGTCTGTAAAGCCTCTTAGATAATTATTATCATTTTGCCACACAATGCAAACACTGATTTTGGGTAAAATGAAATAGACCAATGCTCCTAGAAAATCATTCAGCTCTCCTGACAGTATTAATCATGAAGTTTTCCTGACAGTGTCAAGTAACAGGGAATTTCTTTGATCTTCTGCTGAAGATAATGTAAAATTCATCAAGTTGATTTTCCACATGGAATAACCAAATTAATGTATGGAATTCGATTCTCTGGAATCTGAGAAATGCAGCAGTTAGAATACTCAAAGAAGAGCACTGAAGAACATTGTTCCATTCTAAACCTTTCATCTAAAACCAAAACCAGGTATTTCTCTCGTTTCATACTTTAGCTTCTTTCCTTACTTATGCTCTCACTCTCTGGCTGTGGATTTCTTAACACCTTATCTTTGGCATGGAGGGTAAGAGAGTAGCTCTCTCTAGAGCTGAAAAGTGCTATATTACTGCAAGCAGAGATAGTGCCTGTGGTGTTCAGCAAGCACCTGCATTCTAGGAAAACAAAAGCAAATTGGTAAATTGTTTATTTCTATTTTGGGGTCATACGCTGTATAACCTCACAGACAACCACATATCATAATCTTTTCCTGGAATTAAAGGCCAAAGTGCAATACAATGGTTGGACAATACAGAAAGATGCAGACAACAGATTAACATATTAAAGCATTTAACTACTGTAGCCAGGAGAGGTGTATGGACTTCATTAACATATGTCATGTAAAATCACCCTTGTTTCAGGTTCTACTGTATTTTATGAACTTACAGTGCATAAAACTAAATCTCACTACTTAGAGCATATCCTTGCAACTCAGCATTCTGAATACTTTAATTACACCTCTTATGAACATACATTAAATTATGCTGAATCCATCCGAGCTATCACCATATACTGATTTCATACGAATTATAGTGGAGGGAATTACACCCTTAAATTAACTGTATGTTGTTTGCTTAAAGCAATATATTGATTTAGTATGTACAGCGTGTTGAAATAACATCTGTAAATCCACCAGCTTTTGCTTTTCCTAAAACTATCAACAGCAAGAAAGAAGTACCTTTCTCTCAAGACTTTCTAATATTTCATTAGAGGTTTTCTCATTTTCTTGATTTGCTTTCAGACGAGCCCTTAAGTCTTCTATCAAATGTCTTTTCATATTAAGGTCCCTCTCCAATCGAGAAATCCTAGAAGGGAAGAAGTCACACTGCATGTCACTGTTAGAAAGTATTGTTAATATGCAACTATTTTATACAGCTAAACAGTACAAATGCAGTAGACAAACTATCATTCCTGTAGCTTTAGAATATTTTTTTAAATAAAAGCTGATGCAATTCTTGCAATTTACCCTATTCTCCACCATTAAAACCAGTTTCAAGCGTCTTACTAAACAGACCTATTTCTAAATATACAATTTTTTTGTGATTTGCTTTTTGCTGTGGTTTATGCTCTAACTTGTCTGATCTGAAATCACAATAATTCTCCTTAACCTATTATCAAAAAAAGGCAAAAAACCTGTTGAAAAGACAAAATTTAATTAATTAAATTTCTTTGATGTCTGAAGCAGGTATCATTCAAACACTATTTTGTACAAGATTATTTTTAAAAGTGAAAGGGGGAAGTCTCCTTTCATCCAACTGAGTAATACACAGAAATACACGAAAAATATCTATGCCTATAATATGTCAGATAAGATAATTACTCTTAGAAAGTGCAAAACCTAGAAATAACACCAGCATTTTCCAGAAACTTCTCAAAAAAAGAAACTTGCATGTACAATGTAATCTCTGTTGAATGAGAAAATTATGCCTTATACAATGCCTCCACCATTGTGATACAAACTAGTATTTGAAATATAAACATAAACAATATCTGAATATGTTCAGACTTCTAGATTTTATTTTAGTGACAGCAAAATGAATAATGGTAATTTTTTCAGGAATAAAACATTGTTGATACCATGTCAATATCATATTTAAAAAACCAGGAAAATAGTGCATCTTAAAATTTCTTGTATCTCTTTCACATTTATACTATTAATGCTATTTTGGTTGTTATGTCTTACAGTTTATGGAAAAACAGTATCTATTTTATAAAGGAAGCATGATAACCGGTAACTCTATTTTAAATGTAAGTTTTATGGTGGAAAAATTCAGTTTCATTTTGAAACAGAAAATACACAATTTAACAGTTTTAAGAGTTCTCTGTTTTTGAAATTAACTAATTTCTGATAAGTAAAATGTATTGTTTCTACAAACAAAACAAATTAGAATGGTTAGAGGAGTTAAATTCTGGGACAGGCAAGAAATTCACAGATATACTAAAAGGTTATGTTTCTATAGCAATATAATTGAAGAACAGTATTGTATCAGTTAAAGTAGGTAGAATAAAAATCTCAGTTGCATACTTCACAACAATACATGTGAATTTCAAAATGAGTAGTAAACCTTAATCAATTCAAATAGAAACAAATACAAGTGTCCTTTTGAACTTTTTATGAATATAAGACTGGATATTTAATCTTGTTTAAGCATCTGAACCTTGACATGTCTCTTAGCCCCTAGGCAAAGAATTACTGTATTTGAAAGACAGTGTTTAACAGTGCTGAGGAATTCATTTAGATTTACATCAAGGATAAAATAGTCTACTCTAGGGTCTGGGCATTCTTATTGCAATTCAGATACTGTACCTAGCTAATCACTCATAAGTTTAAACAAAACGCAATTTTAGCATGTACTGCTCCAGTTTCTAAAAAAAACCCTGTAACAGTCTGCAAGATTGCAATAAAAAGAAGAATAAAACATTCTCTTAAAAAGCTATTTAATTGTTAATGTAACAATTATACAGCTGCCACTGGGTGGCACCAAACACAATGGATAGAAGAGTGAACATACTTCGCTTGCAGCTCCCGAATCTGTTCTTCTTTTTCCTGGACTTCGTTTTTTAGTGACTTAATGGTGGCCGATTGCTTAGTGATTTCAGTATTCGAATTCTATATTGAAAAATATTAAAATACAAATAAAGCAGACTGAATAGTATCACAGTCAACGGTAGATTTGCTTGAAGTAATGGGTTGTGTAAACTTCCACATATTTTATGAATGTTCTTAAACATTAATTAGTACAAAAGGAGCATTCTTACTTTCTAGCTACAATTAAGCAAAAATACATTCCTTGCAAAATACAATCAAAATCAGTACTTTTCCATTGCTCTAATAATGTATGATTAATAGATGTTCCCCAGGACACCTGCAAGCCCAGTGCACCTATCAGGACCACATTTTCTCTCGCATAGCATGGTCAGCGGAAAAGGTAATGGAAAGGAAGAGAAATAAAATCAGATCTTCATTTCAACTACATCCTTGAATAGGATAGTTCTACAGCACAAGAGGCCTACATCTATAGAGCAACAATCCAATAACTTCTTTCATCTTGTACATTTAGAAATACAAGAGATTCTACAAGAACAGTTGGTTTTGTGTCCCGTGAAACTCAAAGCATATCAAAGACATTTCCATTTGGCCATACTAACACAAATCCTACATTTCAGTAACAAAAAGGTATGATCCTAACTTTCAGGCACGTGTAATTCCAGTGAAGGCAACTACACAGTTGTTGGCCTTTCCTCATTGTATATAGTACGAAGTAAAAAAACGCCTCAATTCCTACATGCAAACACATAGATAATCTACCCAAAGTTTAAATACAGAGCTGAATCACTCTACAAAAATAAAAATACGAAATTTAACTAAGTAGCCATCTTAGCAACCTGAGCATATGCATTGAATGCCATTGCTGAACATGGCAGCTCAAACATAACGCATATAGAGATTTCAGAACTGCAAAAGGTGTTGCCAAAAGATACATATGCGTTAAGTGAACACATAACATATATGTGTGCATATATGCATTCAGGTTCAGCCACAGTACTAAAGCTTTTTACTTGTTATGTATAAACAATAAGCGAACAGATCAGACATGCTGTAAACAAAGATACTTCAGGAGAATTTCTCTGCTCAGTGCAGACTTGTAATGCCTATTAACATTAATAGGAGTATTGTACCTAACTCTGTGCACCTCAAGGGGAGTATATATTCTTGTGTGCATAGTTAGATGTAAAATATTGTTCTTAATAACTTGTCTAGTCTATTTACTATTATTATAATGTGAGGTATAACCAGAAAATTGTTAAAATGATATATGCTAGCAGAATATTCCTGAGTTTCCTGAGACCTGTTTGTTGAGCTTGAGGTTCATTAGTGTAAAGCACAGTACCCAGTTACATGGTTTACACACCAGATACAAACTTGACTACTTAGGTGGGCCTCTGCACATGCTCAGAGGCAAGACATATGCTTATGGCATTTTGCTTCTAAACCCACTACCCACACCAAACGCATTTCTTCCTATTGGCAAAGATACAAGAAGTCATTATATACAACATAAACAAACACTGCAAAGATAGCTCTGAGAAAAAAAATGAACTAACAAACCCAGGTACTTTGAGATTTTGAGCTATAAGGAAAGCTTTTGCAGCTTCCACATTCAGACGCTTAGGAGAATAACTCCGTATCTCCTTTTTAAATATGCTAGATAGCCTGGAACAATAGTTGACAATTTTTGCCAATTTCTTCTGCTAAAAATGACTTGCAGGACTTAATTTTTTTTAAAATTATTAGCTCAAAGTTAGGCTAAGAATTTCAGTAACTTAAGTAGCTTTTGAGGCCCTTACAATCAAAACTCTCACCCAGTTCAGCAAACAGTGAATTTACTCTACTAATCTGGATTTGGGGTCACAGAGTATCTTTATTCTAAATGTAGTTTTGCATACGTGCTTTATTTTTTATATGAAAAATGTAATACATCCTTAAGAAGGAATTAAAAGTCATGTTAGTATTTTTGACATCAAATTTACATACACTTGCTAAATGTTTACTCTGCTGCAGAAACAAACAAAAAAAAACTTTGATTTTTTCAGCAATACATTTTGCAGTTCACATCTGGCAGACAAATAAAGTAGGCTTCTAGCATGAGTGTTACTCAGAGTATTTTACCAAAAAAAAAAAAAAAATCCTTATTTTTTATTTTTCTTAATTTCATAGAGCAATTGACTGCTAGGTTTCTGGATAATGAGGACACTGATCTAAAAGGAACAACCCTAATTAACAGAAATTACCACTCACCAGAAACAGAAGCAGATTAGTCAAACCCAAATCTAAAATCAACACTGAAGAAGTCAGCGTGTATGGTTTCAAGATCTCTTTCTCATAATTAAAGTAGATCAAATTATGTGCCTTTTCATGGCTACTCCCTGCTGCCCTCATCTCTTTATCAATGTGACCTACCTTTACTAATCCCTGAATTTAGATGTTACGCATCCAGTATGCTATAGCCAAGATCTGTAATACCATGATTACCATCAACAGCTAAGAGGTCTGAGCACAACCCTCATCTCATGCGCTAGCACAGCTAATCCAATACTCAGAGCTAGAGCCAGCTATATCATTCATGTAATACGGCCTTTTCTTCCAGTTGATCCTTTGGCAGCCGGCTTGCTAGTGTGCCATTTCTTCTAGCAGCAAGAAGCTCTACCATTTTGACCTTTTCTCTTTCCTCAAATATTAAACACAAAATGATGGAAAAAAACAACTTTAAGACATTCTGTTGCACATATATTTCCTCCAATAAGAAGAGAGGAAGAATTAATATGTTCAAGCCAGGCCACCTGCTGAGAAAGCTCTCAGATCAACACAGTCCAGCATCTACATCATCCACATACAACAGAATCACTGGAGACTGAAAAATGAAATCATCAACAAGTTAGTGGTTTTCTACCAGCTAATCTACAGAAATACAAATACAAAAAGAATGATGTCTCTTTGAAGGCAACAATAGTAGTGACATATAGGTAACATAACACTGTTACATTACATGAGCTGCTCCATCAGTCCAAATTCTATGCTCCCCTTTCACAGATAGCTATTGCTTACCTCCTTCTTAAAGGAAGCAAGGAATCAACATAATTCTCATTGAAGTAATTCCACAGCACTGTCCAACAAGATGCATTTAATTGCGTGAAAACCCAGCAAGCCTCCCTGTCTGGCCTATTTGATCTGCAAAAATTGTTTCAGTTGTAACTTTTAATTCTCCTGCTTATGACTACATTTCTACTTAACATCAAAGGTTATCTAACACCTAATTTGCTAATCATTGGCTAAGATATATAAATGATATGCATATGTGAGTATACATATATCTGCTTGAACCAGTTATGAAATACTGTTCATATGAATTATCCTCAGCACTAGATAATCTGTTCTGTCACCTTTAGTTTGCACTGCAGCTGTTTCATCTCTAAATCAATGTTCTTTGAAGGAGCTGGTGTGGCTTCACTGTTGCCAGCAGTTTGAGACAGATGTTCTCTCAACTTCAATTTTCCTTGTAAATCTTCCTTCTCCTGTTGCCACTTGGCCAGGTTGGAGGTCAACGCCTGCTTCACAAACAGAAGAAACAATCACAATTGCATCCTAAAAATATTTCTGCTTGATCATATAGATGCTTCTCTGGTTCAGAATTCAAGAGGAATGAAACAGTATATATTATCTGTAATTATACTGCATAGTTGTTGGTTGAATTCTCTAGTCCATGCAAAGATCAAATCTGGCAGGAAAGAGTAGTCAACTAACATTAAAAACAAGCATTTTTTTAAAAAGGCAAGCTGATTCAATTTTGACTGTACACATTGCTATTTCTACCATGACAGGCAAAAATTATCATACAAAACTGTAACAGTAGTTACTGTTGAAACCTGTTTACCTAGAGCATCTCTGGGATTCAGCAATTATTTCGACACAGAGCATGAAAAAATACCAAGGTGTCTCAGACACCAATGCGTATTAAAGGTGGTTAAATGTCAAATCTGTTTTAATGGTGACCACTGTAAGCTCACTTGAATTGCTGTGTTGACAACTGCTATAAAACATAACCCTTTGCTTGGCTTTTGTTTTGATATTTGTAGGGCTTGTAGAGGTTAAAGCAAAGTAGACCAGCTGCACTAAATATCTTCTGGTTGGCTGGTCTTTACTCATGTTGTGTTATTTCTTCATTTTCACATATATGCACCATAGCTAGAGAACCACATATTCCATAACCTTGACTCTAGGGCTGAGGTACTTAAGTGGTAAAAGCCAAGCTGGAGCAGGACAGGATAACAGATGTTAGTTGTTTATTCCTCTGGGTAGGTCTTACCACCCTATACTGCAGCCAAAACGCTTCTCATTTAGCAACATAAATGCTAAGTCCAATTAGCAGACAAGGCTTGTTAGGGATTTAGTTCAAATAAATAACATGCAAACAAACTCTCAGTCTTGTTGCACTTGATTGACAACTGACAAGACTTATTCAATTCTTGTAACAATATATTTCACAGTACTCCTTATAGAGGTAATCTTTTAAATAAAATATTTGTTTTAATTTAAATAATATTGAATGTTGTTCTGCAAAAAGGGGAACTGAAATAATCTTCATGCTAGTTGTTAACTTTCATGAATCTGTAGTGAGCCAAAAGCCACCAATGGCCTAACAAGTCTCTACTCCTTAAGAGGGTAACTACAGTACTATGTTATTATTCCAAAGAAGATTGTAATATAGTAGTTTAACATAAGGAACAATTATACAAAATGGTATTGAAATCTCTCAAAGGGCAAAAAAACCTTCCTTTGTGAAGAAACCTGATAAGAAACTGGAGAAAATACTAAGCTTGAAATGACTAAATGTGTGTCCAATTATATGCTGGTACACAAAAAAACAGGGGTGAGAAGGTTAAAGATAGTGTTCTATTTCCAAGCATTTTATTATTTAACTCAAAAATAGATTTTATACTGTTTGATGTTATTAGAAAAAACTTTTTATATACATGTGTTTATATACACATGCACTTCCATACCGATCACCTGAAGATCACATACATATCCAAATAAAAGAAAAACTGCTTATGGTTATGTTTATTCCCATTATGAATGACATGACAATGCTTGTAGACTTTGCATTAGCTTAAAAAAATATCATGGATACAAGAAAATGCATCCTGTATTTAAAGTTAAAACTCTAACAGTATTTCACACTTAAGTTCATTTATTAAAGCCAATGGGCAATTTTCATATTTATCTAAGTACTGTTCCTAGTAAAGGGGTTAATCTTTCCATTCTGTTCTGCCTCTGCTGTCATTATCAAACAAGAGATAAACAGTGTTAAAGTATTTTCTAATTGGCTATTCCTTAATCTGATACACTATTCTCACAATTAATACAATCTGAGTAAAAGACAAGCAAAAACAGTAGTAGTACAGAAAGATATAGTATAGAAAGATATAAGGATTACGTTAATTTGACCAGTATAGCCAATATTTCTACATGCAGAATTTCATGATTCAGTGTCTCTATAATAAATTATTCATAAAAAGAAAAAAAAATCACAGCTAGATCAATACCTCTGATTAAAATTAGAAATGCTCCCACCTCTGCCCAAGATAGCTCATGACTCTCAGAAGTTACTTAGGCTACTGCTGCCGCCAAAATGCATCTGGTCTAAAATGCCATGATTGCAGTGGCCACATTCCCCAAAATGACAGCAAATATATTGAAAAAGAACAGGCTTTCATGGGACAGGTGCAAAAGAGGACAGTGCTACATGGGTTATACAATTTACTTAAGTGAGGAATTAGAAAAAAAGATTTAAAATATTAATCTACATAAATTCAGAAACTGCATCAGAACTACAGGGGTGAAGTGAAAGTAGTATATGATGTATAAGACAAACACCCCCCAACTTGCAAAAGCAGATGAAGACAGACAGGCAATTGAAGTCAGAGCTATCAAGCTTGCCTCTTAACAGCTCTGGAGACAATGTAAACGGTGTTACTGGGTTGATAAATTCTATTGCATTATTCTTTTATTTGCAATATATTGAAAGGATATATGAAAATTATATATAAATCTATGTAGGATGTGAAAAACAGCTCCCCCTGCCCTGGCAAGATATTTATGCCTAAAAGATATTCCTTGCATTTACTTACTGTCCCTCACCACTCACGAAGTTTTAGGTCAAGTCTTTTGTTCTTTTTTCCTTTTTTTGACATGGCGGGAGGGGGGAGGGAGGTTGTGTCTGTGCTACCATGCACGAAAATCCTGAGTGACAGAGTAAAAAGGATTTACTCCAGGGGAAGAGGTCACCAGGATGAAAGGTAGAATCTTAAACACCAGCTAGACCAGATGTTGGTAAAGGCAGGCTACCGCTGTTCCTCCACGATGTAGCGGCCTTTGTCTGCTGCACCTCCTCCAGAGTGTTTTGGCTTAACAGATGTTTATAGATTCAATATTTTAACATCCATCTATCTTAATCTCCTTACTCCTGGTATACCCATGACACTCTGTTCTGCTGTACACAAAAGGATAAGTGATGAAATCTCAGTTTCTACGTAGTCCATGTAAGACTTCCAGTGACTCAGCGAGGCTTTTTACCATAAGCCCTCTGTTCAGCAAGACACCTATGTGGAAGGCCCAAGGGATTTATGTAGGAAGCTCCTGGAATGGCCTATTACTTGCTGGCGTCACAACCTTGTGAGGAGCTTCTAGCTCAGTTTACAGCAGAGTCACCTTCCTACTGCAACTGGCATGTATGAAAATGACATTTCTGTTGGGGGTGGCTGCTATTGCACTGTCACTGCTGTACATGATCACATACATTTATATTTGCAGAATATATTATATAGAATGTTTTTCTAGGCAAAATTAGAAAATAGGATGTAAATCCAGTATTATTGAAAAATAAATAAATAAATAAAATAATAAAA